GGATCCATTAGCACTAAACCTGATAAACTGAAAATATTATTAATCCTTTATTGCTTCAATCAACCTTAGTGGAAAGAAAATATTTTGACATATTTAACTCAGATCAACTGAAAAAGCCAGGCGATTTTGGTCTGTAAGACTAATAACGCGAGCTCTGATTCGGAGATTTTAGCGATTGTTACACGCATAAAATTATAACAGTGTGAGATAATACAACGATATATATTCCATTACTGACTAAAAATATACTTTGGGCAAATTACTGAAAATAAATAAAGTTCCAAACATTTATGTTCTCTATATTTTACTCTATTATTACCTACCCTTCCCTTCCCCGAGAAGACGATTTTAGCTTTCAAAATATTTGCAAGAATGAATAGTAGTTGCCAGACTTGACAATTCAACACAGAGTAAAATGCCTGTCCACATGCTCTCTACACGTAAATAACACCAGTACACCAGTAGTAGAAAAAGTCAGTCATCGATAAAAAAATCCGTAAAAAGCGAGTACGTAGCGATATKTACAGACTATGGAAATGATGCGTCAGTGATTGACATATCACTATCAATATTATACAGTGATCAGCAAATTTACATGTATATAGGAATTTCAAGAGGAAAAAATGGGAAGTCAATTAGTAAGCACGTATTTCTATTCACTATTCTAACAGATCTTGTAGACATCCATGCTATTATTTACAATGCATGATGGGAGTGCCAGGAGGAACAAATCATGTAAACAAGCGGAAACCCTTGAACAGAATTCTAATTTATGTGAAAGGTGGACTACGAACGATTGGCAATTTTCTTGACTGACGGCGTAGAAATTTAAACGAATATTTCAAGAAGACGGTCGCGATCCCTCTGATTTAAATCTAACAATCATTCCAATGTAATCAAACAAACCCCATTTGGACCTCAAACCCTGAATTCCAAATATGACGAGCTGGCTTTGCAGCTAATAAACACAAATCATAGAACGTTATTGACCAAAAACCGTCAGCAAGTSAATGTTAGGAATAGAAGTGTTCGGTTTCACCTCGACTAGTTTGTTTGTTTGTTTCTACTATATTTTGACACCTGTGAACGCGTGCGATTGATTTGGAGTCGCGGTGATCTCAGTGTTTTCTTGTTAGAGAATTTGTGATGATCACTTGAAACAAAACTAGATTGTCAAAATAACTGAAAAAAAACCTCGTGATGAATAATTAATTGATTTATGTCCAGAGCTCCGCTCAAAAGGAATTCGGATGATCTCACTTGACAAGAAGATTCGATCCTAACAATTCAATTGTCAATCATTCATTTTTATCTTTAGAAGATTCAATTCCATTGGACGATGGCATGGAAATTACGACTTCAGGGACATCAGCCGACTCCTTGGGGTCTACAACCGGATCCTCCTCAATGGCAGTTAAACGTCTAAGTTCACAACTGTCGTGTTCATCGTCATAATACCGTTTCTTATCGGCCGAGAACCACAGTCCTTGGTCCCTGTCTTTGTCCCGGTGTTTATTCCTRTGTTTGCCATGTTTGTGTCTATGTTTACTGCGTGATGAGCCATGATGCCTGTCATTTTTACTACGTTGTTTGGATCCGCAACTGTCCTTCCTATCTTTTGCAAAAGATTTCCACAACGAGCTTTTCGTCATTTCCTCTGAGATATTTATTGGTATTTCGACCTGCGGAGGTCCGTTGGCTTGAACAGCCTCCTTTTTTTCACCATCGACCTCGTCCTCCTTAAAACAAAAAAATCGAGAAAATGAAAATACTGACTAAGAGAAGAAAACTTAAGTTGGGTTTACCTCTCCACTCTCACTGCCATCGCAAGGCGCGTCTCCTTCAATACCGTCAGCCATTGACTCGGTGAGTTTCTTCTTCTTAATTGTTTCTGGCATCAAGTCATCRAGTACCTCAAGCTCGTGCTTTGTAAAGAACTTTTCCATGATTTTACGGACAGCAACAAGCATCAAAACCTACAGATATCAATAACATTAGCAYGCGTCTTGACCATGAACATGGCTGACTTTATCAAATCCATACAATTCATAAAGCTTACCATAATGGGAAACACAAGTGCTGCTGGTGTAGATTTGATGGCCCATAGTACTATTAAACATGTACATTGTATGACAGTAAACAGGTGCACACGCTTTATCTTAATACGGCGCAGGTAAATCAAGTCAGGCTGATGCTTGGCTGGCATGAAAATGATTTTAAGACGCTCGAAGAACTGCTCAAAAAACAAACAAACAGACAACTATTATCACAAAGAAATAAAATTGGAAAAGAATGAAAAAGGAAGAGATATCGTCATTGGAGTGCTTCAAACCTTTCACTGGGAAAAATCGAGCGCTTTAAAGGTTGTAAATTTGATGTAAATATGATGTAATTGTCCAAAATTCTGTAAATTTGATGTAAATGATTTCCATTAAATTTACAGAATTTTGGACACTTATATTACATCATATTTACATCAAATTTACGACCTTTAAAGCGCGCGATTTTTCCAGCGTTAGAGAGAGCAGTCTTTCCCCAGATAAAGGAGCTTGACTTCAAAAGGGAAGCAGGGAATAAAAAGGGAATTAACGAAAGTATATTTTATGTCAATACCTGAAGTCCTTTTAAGGCTGAGAATCCCATATAAAGAAACAGACCAAATAATACGGGCATAGGAATAACCTGCAGACATGAAACACATTCTTTTATGCCTGAGAGATAAGCCTTTTTATACTAAATGCGTAGCTCACAATATGGCTGCATGAACCGATAAAAAAAAAGTATTTCAATAACAAAGGCCAATGAAGCGAAATATCCATTCTTTTATTTACTCTAATAAATATACGATTTTATCAACAAACACATTCATATTGAGCTATACTAGAGCGGATTTCGTATAAGTGGGAAATGGACGGTACTATACTGTGACCGTAACCGTACTGTAACCAAATTCTAGTGCCCCATTGGTTCACCAAAATTGTGCAGGCCAGGTCCGGTAACTGTGCGGTAACCGTGCGGTAACGGTGTCCCACTCGTACGAAATCCGCTCTATGTCCTACATGTACCACTGGAAGCTACTTTACCTTGAGAATTGGGGTTAATAATACAGACACACCAATCAACAAAAAAATAACAGTTCCAGTAACACGCTGCTCCCTAATTGAATAAAAAAAGATTTATTTGTCTTTAAAACCAAAGCTTTGAAATATTTGACATATAATCACTGGCTGATGGACTGTGAGCCGTAAAACACTAAAATAAATAAACAGTAAAAATCCAGAAATAAAAGCCATGGAGCACTGTCATCGCTTCAATTGTTTTTGTTTGAAAATAAAGATACATCGTAATATACACCTACTTGCAGAAACGTTGTCATAGAAAAAAGAATATTTGAATTTAGTAAAAAGGAATAAATTAAAACAAGACAAAAGAGAGCGTTCAGCCTCAGTGATCTTCTTTTGTCTTTTTTAATTTATTCCTTTTTACTAAATTACAAATGTCCTACTTTTTATGACAACGTTTTCGCAAGTATGTGTACATGTATTACGAATAAAGTCACCTTATTTTCTATATATGAACTCGTGGACCATAGGCCTTTTCTGAAATAGCATGACGCTTTGCATCGTGGTCTAGATTCGGTACAAACATCTTTTGTTCATGTGGCCAAATATGKTGTTGTTTGTACTGAAACTAGACCACAATGCACCATTATTTCGTAGCTCAGAAAAGGTCTATGGCCCTTTTAGGAATGGCTGCTCAAGTTTATCTCTGTTGTAAATATGGCTGGAGATGGATATCACAACAGAAGCAAACTTGAGAAACAATCGCCACACTCGTGTTTCTAAGCTTGCTTCTTTTGTAGTGTTTCTTACCTAACACCAAGGAATTTGGTTTTTTCGCCAGGTGCGGTGCACTGGGACTCAACAAATAAGCTTTGAACATGAGAAACAGATAATACCGTGGCAGCGACGACCCACGGTAGACCAAACACTGAACAAATTCCAATAATAATAGCAACTAACAACAAATCAAGATGGTAGCCAGCACCTTTCTGCAATGGAATGATTTACAAGATACCCTTACTATGGCAGACAATTTAGTTAGACTATTACATTTAACTTTAAAATCATCGAAAACAGAATATTACATATCGAGACAAAATGCTCCTAACAAAACTGTGACCAAGAGGTACATCAGCGTTTTTTGACATGACTTTCATAAAAATTGCCATTTTCTCACCTTAAGTTTGTGTTCTCTTCTATTTACAATCAATGCAGTAATTTGTTGATCCATAAATACTAAAATGGTAGCAAGTATTGCAGGTATTGCTGCAGCAATAATAATCCAGCCAGGATTGCGACCAAGAGGAGGAACCAACCAGCCTCTTTTGCTACCAGCGGTTGGCCGAAAACTGAGAGGGATTTTAAGCTTGGGCGTGTTTACGCCAAACATATAGTCAATTCCAACAAAAACAAGAATTGATATCAGGACAGCAAAGTCAGAAACTTTYGCACGTAACTGGAATAAAGACAAATATATTATCTATACATTGYGCAYTCAGAAGCAYATGCTAATCTATAAGAATAGCCAAAGAAAAATTCGAAACCTGCYGTTTGGCAGGAGTAATGATAATAAACCCATAATGACACCTACCTTGGTAGGGAAGTATGGACTTGTGCGAAAATTCTTGAGTGAAATAGTTAGAGTAAATGTACCAAGTGTGAGAATGGCGGATAGAAAAAACACATTCTCATCACATGCCAASCCAGATAGTGTACCACCCAGTAGTTCACAGTCTTGTACAGGTACATCAAACATGGTCTGATTTGTCACTGTACTGTTAACCATGGTTCCATTGACCCAATTTGAGACCATGTACTCCTTTGATTTTGTACAKGCACAGGAATGATGGTCCGTATAGCCTATTGATATCGGGTGGTCATTCTTTACATGCCACAGTTTAGAAAACCCTTCTACAATGAAAATAAGTGCAATGAGAGTTGCAAAGCATTCTTCCGTGAAACGAGTGAAGTAACACACCAAGGAACTAGCGTCAGTGACTACAAGAATGAAACAAAACAACATAGTCCATATTCCTATCCACATCCTGAAGGGAAGGTACTCTAGGTTGGCCATTATACAGAATGAATAGATGATTTCCTCAAACACAAGCATTGGACCTGTAGCGCCAAGAATGATCAATGGCTGACCACCAAACAGAGAAAACAGTACCCCTCCAATTGAACATGCCAACATTTGCTCTACAGCACCCTGAAACACACAAACGAAAAACAATCAATCAGTAAATTGCTGGTGACTCATTGAAAAACAAGTGGTAATTGGATTTTATATAAATTTAGTTGGAGATAAACCTTAAAGTGCTACTTGAATGAAAATGTCCCCAATTCAAAACTTCAAGCAATACAAATATATGACTCACATATATCTATTAAAAACAATTGCGGGAAAATATTTGTTTTGGAATTRTCCCACATCAGAGAAATTTTGATTCAAAAGATGGAAAAACAAAAGGATGGAGTAAATGACGTCATCTACTCCAACATTTTTTGCCCAAATACACCTTTTCAGTTACACTTAGGCCTCGATATCAAGTTAATTATTCTTTTGAATTTGACAAATGAGACTATTCATATCAATAATTGCATTGCTCACGTTCCTACCAATTCAAAAGAATATTTAACACGCTGTCGAGGCCTAAGAGCAACTGAAAAGGTGTATTATTAAAGATTTGTATCAATATCTTTTTAAAATCTGTTGCTTCATGATTATTAGAAGCATATGGATAGTTCTATTTGATTTCCAAGTCTTTTCTAATGTTTCGCAATTTTCGTCCATGTACACCAATCATTTCGCAGAGATGTTATTATTAGAGGGAGTAACATAACGCATGTTATCATATGACCCGTATTTCGGCCCTACGCGCGCTCTCACTGAAACCTTTGGAAAATGGTCACGTGATGGGGTCCGTACGCCTTTTCGCGACAGGTCCGCACAAACCCGTATTTTCCCGGCTTGAAGTTCCGCGCGCTTTTATTTATTTTTTTACATTGAAAACGCTGTCATATGATAAAATGCTTATTGACTGAGTTAGGTCGGGCCGTACGGGAAAATATTTGGCTCTCGTTCATTTGTACGGCATAACCACGAGCCAAATATTTTCCCGTA